ATTATTGTGCTTTAACTAAGAATGGAATAATATCATAGTGGTTGGATGACTTGTAGAATTACTTTCTTGTTTGTAGATGGGTTATGTCTCGGCACTGACAATTCTTGTAAAACTCTACAAATACATTGGAACCATACTCTTAATTTTCACATTCCATCTTTATCCTGCAATTAACTTGTTATTGACATAGGGGTTAATTGGGTTTTCAAGCACAAATATAACAACCAGATTATTGACTACATGTTCAGATTCTTGAGCTACATGTCCAGATTATTGACTACATGTCCAGATTCTTGAGCTAAAGGGTGACTCTTTCATTTGAAAGAATCTTATATTCCGTCTAGCAAATTCCATAAACATCATAACTTCAAATCTCAAGGGTTCTAGTCACTTTGGTCTCTGTCACTATTTTCTCCAAAACATCAACAGTAGTTTCCTGTGGATTCGACTCTGAACTTAACCGGATTATAACTACAACTTGACTGCCTACACTTAGGTGTACATAATTCGGATCAAGTCAGTTAGTAATTGTACAACGGGTTCTCATTTGGTAACCCCATTTTAAAGGAGGTTGCAATGATTTCAGGTTTGCATGCTTCAACTTCATTCATTGTTTCCCAATACCGATGAGCATACTCCCGTAGCATCTCATCGTTCCTTTGCTTTAACGTCAGCAATGCCCTAACATCTTTGGGCTGCCAGCTACTGATGATGAATTGAGCAAAAAACTGTTCAGTCAGCTGCCCCCAGCTGTCAACCAAATTCCTAGCTAGGCCGTCTAACCATTTCACAACCGATTCTATAAGACTGCTAGGGAATATGGTACACAACAAAGATTCGTTCTTCCTATGGATCGTCATTAGCAGCTTGTAATGAAAAATGTGAAGGGTTCGATCTGTCTTTCCATCATACAACTTGAAGTTCAGGATAGTGAATTTACTAGGGATTCTCCCTTGCTCGATCCATTTGGTGAAAGGGGAACCTTCCATGCCACCTACCTACTCCCTAATGGTTCTTCGTGCTAGATCCCTAGCTGATTTCTATTCGGACCATTTCAAACGGCTGTTGAGGTTTTTGGTGACAAAGCATTTCAGTTCATCCTCTTGGTTTTCATTTTGGTTGGACTTCCTTCTATAGTTAATTTTTGGTGACTCCTCTCTACTTTTTGGTCGTTGCCTTTCAGGAGTTCTTTGTCAGCGCCTTTGAGTGCGTTCTGCCTCTTCGACCACATTTCATCCTCTTGCACTCCTTAACACCTCTTTCATGGCCTCATGCCACATATGCTGATGAATAATTTAGTGGCGTGGACACGTTGGGATAGGTCACATGGGTCCCAAAAAGATAAAATATAGCATTGTAGCCGAACCGAACTAGGCAAGCTCGGTTCATAATGTAGAACCGATCTACAAAGAGCTTGACAATGATTGCAAGGCATTTGGTTTAGAAGGGCGAGCTTCATTTAAAATATGGCTTTAATTGAATCATAGGGAAGCACCTATAATCAAGGAAATTTGGGTACTATTAATAATCACCATTCATGGCTCCGAAGAGTTAGGCAATTGGAGGAGAGTATAGAAGATTTCAGCGATCCCTAACCGACATTCGAGAATGACAAGGGATGCACCATGACTTGATCCAAAATGTGTACACCCAAGTGCAGGCGGTCAAGTTGTAGTAATAATTTGGTTAAGTCCGAAGTCGAATCCATAAGGAACTATGATTGGTGTTTTGAAGTAAACAATAATAACGACCAAGTAACTGAAAATTTCGAGAGTTTGGAGTGGTGGGGTTTTCTTTAATATAATAGAATATTCTTTTCAAGATTTTTCTAGACAAAATAAAAAATTCTCAAAATGTAAAAGCCACCCTTTAGCTCGAGGATCAGGACGTGTAATAGAGTATCTGTTTTATTATGTTTGTGCTTTATAACTCAATTAACTCCCGTATCAATATCAAGTTAATCGAAAGATAAAAATGAATTTTGAGAATTAAACACATGATTCTAATGTCTTTCTAGAAGTTTACAAGAATTGTCTGTACCGAGACTTAACCCGTCTACAAACAAGCAAGTGTTTTTACAAGGCATCCAATCATGGCATTAATGATCCATTCTTTGAATAAAGTGCATTAATGGTGGGGATTGAAAGGTTGTCATGAAGAGCCAGTGGGGGTACTTGCCTTGAACCAACGGGTCTTTCTATGCAGGAGTCATCCGTTTCATAGATGGGGCCCTTGGTTATACAAAGTACCTCAACTTTGCTCGATACATTCAATCATCCAATGAACAAGTAGAGTATAAAGCATTAAAGCATGAAGAAGTTGCACAACTATACCTTCTGGATAATCTTTACATATTCATCACCTTTTACTAAAAAGTAAATGAGGAACTACTCACTTTTCATGGCCTTGGCAAAGCTATAAAAGTGAGTGCTACTCATCCCTCTAAGTAGAGGAGCTTCTAAATGAAGCAAACTAAACAAGAGCTTATCTTCAATGAAGAATAAGTGAATCACTTTCCACCCTTCACGGCTTTGGTAAAGGCCTATAAAGGTGGAAGAGTTTCACTCTTTTAAGAAAGAAGGATGCTCAAGCAATGGAAGTGAAATACATGAACAATAAAAGTAAAAGAAATGTAGTTACTTTTGGAGGGTTTTCACCACAACCAAAAGATGAACTATCCCTCTTTATACTTTGTAAATAAAAGCAAGTACAACTACAAGGGGAGTCTACGCCTCCATCATGGTTGTCACAACATGAATGGAAAGACTTAACATAAGTAAATAAAAGACTTCAACTACAAGGGGAGTCTAAGCCTCCATCATGGTTGATATAAATGCAAAATGAAAACATAAACATGAAATGTTCAAGAACTAGATTACTAAAACACTCTTACTTTACAACAACAAGGATTGCTCCCCCTTTTCTCTACAAGAGGAAGAATGCCCTTTAAACTCCCAACATGGGAGTATTTATAGGCAAGGAAGGGGAGAGGGAGTGTAGGAGATAAGAGAGGATGAGTGAATAGTATTTGCCGCCCATGGGAACCAACTATTCTGCAGGCAGTCTGCAGAGGACGTTCGAACATGATATGACGTTCGAACGTTAGGTCTGTCTTTTCTTTAAGGACGTTCGAACGTGAGATTCCGTTCGAACGTTGTCTATCTCTTTACTTTGAGGGCATTCAAACGCCAAATGGGGTCTGATTCCTTCCACTTAAGTGGCCTGTGGTCTCTGACTTGGTCATTTCCATACGTCTTGAACAACTTTGACTTTACACTCAGCAACTTGGTCCTCAGTCACTCAAGACGACGTTCGAATGTAGAGTGGCGCTTGAATGTTGTACTCAAGTACTTATGGTTTTTCTTTCTTTACTGCAACATGCCAGGTTCCAGTGAATTAGTTTTCTCAGGATTCCAAAGGACGTTCGAACGTGAGTTGGCATTCGAACGTGGTACTCAAGTCCTCAGCATTTTCTCTTTGTTGACTGCAACACACCATGTCTCAGCAGCTGGTCTTGGCAGGGTTTCAGAGGACGTTCAAACGTGGGTTGACGTTCGAACGTTCTTACTTTGTTCCAACCTTCTGAAATTTTGTTCCCTAGTGTGCTGGTATTACATTCAAGTGTGATTTTTTTGTTGTTCTTGAGCCTTTGTTCTCTTTAGGACCTGAAATGTCATTACTTAAACTCCATCAAAGTATAATTAGTCCAAAAAGACATAGTAAAAATTGTTAACTTTACGCACGAATCATACCACCTTGCCTCGTCAATAAAGGGAACCCCTATTAGAAGGAATAGCCCTATTTAAAGGACTAAGGATGCACAGTAAAAAGTACGCATAATCTTCTCTGTAAATATTTTTGTATTGTTCTAATACTGATTTAAGCATTAGAGTGTCTTCGATCGAAGCTCTTTAGTCCTAGGCAAATTGTTCATTTTGTAGGGAAGGTGGATAGGGATACGCACAATACTAGTGATCAAGCTACAAACATAAGGGGTAACACATTTTTATCATTGACAATACATTTCCACGTGTTCAATTATAATGTTCTTGTAAATCTCTTATTTGAGTTAGTGTTAATCAAGAGAAATCATGAATTAAATAGCTTCTCCTTCTAAATTTCTTCATTGTTCTTTCTTCACTATACATTCGTCATTGTTGCTTTTCATCTCTAAAGCTTTCATTTTCCATTCTGCTCTTGATCAATAACTCTCTCTGTCTCTCTATCTCAAGCCTTGTTGTATCAGTAGGGTATTTTTCATTCAGTGTCGAATGAAGATTTTATGCTCACGTTATTCATAATGATATTAACACTTCCCAATCAAACATGCATTTTCCCTCGTTTCGAGTCATTTGTAACACGTAATATAAGATGATCAATATTTAACAATAATAACTTTTGAAATATACATATTTAAGTTACATCATCTCTAACAACTTACTTTTTTTGTGTACATGATTTTTTAAAGTGGTATCAGAGCAAGAAGCTCTGTGTTCGAACATCACCACAACCCTAATTATTAAAAAGATTTTCATGTGTTAGACCCATAATCTAGCCTGCACATGAGGGGACATGTTAAAATATAAATATTTAAGTTACACTCTCTCCAATAACTTAAACTTTTTAAGTAGATGACTTTTTAATAATTGTTAACTTGAGGTTTGAAGTTTGCCTCTTGCAATAGAATACTCATTTATCTTATGCGCATAATTGAGGGATGATTATACACATTCAAAGTTTGTGTTGTAGTCCCAAGTCCACAGAAAATGTGACCAAAATGTTTTCGTGCTGTTAAAAAAGGAAAAAATTAACGGGCAATAGCCAACAAGTTGGGCATCCACAGTATAATTCGCAGCTATGCCTTTTTCCTTTTTCGCTCCCGTGGCCCAATGATTACAGAAATTCAGAACTCAATGATTGACGTTAAAAGAGCACTCAACGTCGAAACCCAGAACACGAAAATGAAAATATGTTCGATGGAAACAACCTGCAGTACCCTAGAGATGAATTGTTCCAAAAACCCCAAAAAAAAAACCAGAAAAACTAAAGATGACAAAATATAACAAATCTTGTGTACAAATCAAAAAGTACTAAGCTTTAGTGCGTGTGATTGGCCTGTTATTACATGAAACGGAGATTTGTCTCACAACATGAGTCGAGAGTGCTTCAAAATAAAAACAAAACAAAAGTAAAGTGGGTTGTCACAACTACATTAATTACTTCTATCACCTGCATAAATGCGTACTTTTTCTCATCGCCTACTTAGTAAAGGAAACCAGCGTTCATGTAAGGAATTGTGGTGAGAGATCACGAGGAGAAGAAACACAAGCAGAAATGCAACACCCCATGGAGAGCCTCCAGCTCTATGAAGCGAATCTTTCTCCGGCAAAGAGATGATGAACGGAACGCGATCCCGGTCTTTGCTTGATAACCAGTGCACAACAAGTAGTAGTACCACAGGAGAGATTATGAGAATTAACTTGAGCTGATCCATAAAGTCTTCACACATGGACTCATAGTTTATGTACCATGTAAAAGTCAAGAACAGGAAGAGTACAACAAGAAAGAAGAGGAAGTGGATCGGAAATGAGAGGTATTGGAGGTAATCATAGTAGGAAGAGTTGTAATACCTGGCCATATTGACAAAGGAATTGGAAGGTACAGGGCTTGGGGAAGAAACACTAGTTTTGATCTTTTCTAAAATCAATTAGCTACTGTATTTTTTAAGAACAAAGTTGAGTGGAGATCTGGTATATATAGGGGGTGATGCTATGTTTCTTTTCGTGCTTTGTCCCGGATTGGAAGTGTTAATTACACTTTATGCCGTTAAATTATGAATTTTCTTTCACTTTATTTCTTTAACAATTTATTGAAAACCTTCTCCCCTCGACTATTTAAAAACGCATGGTGTTGTGCACAAATCGTTAAATATTGAATAAAATAGGCGCTAGGAATTTAGCTTAGCCACAAATGAATAATCTAAGCACACCACTGGCATGCGAGGTCAAAATTCTAGCCAAACTTTCTAATGAGTCATTTATTGTGGTCTACACCCACTAGACGTGTCAATTCTACTTGAAAAGTCAATTAACTAAGACCTCCAAGTCAATTAACTAAGACCTCCGAGCCAATTAATAGTAAAGCTAGACTGATCAAATTTAAAGTCCAAATGATATGACAGTTGACTTGAATTTCTTTGATTGATGTTATGTTATTTGGGTCCCAATAAAAACTTTAAATAATCAACTGCCATGTCATTTGGGCTCTAAATTTGGTTTCAAAATTTGGTCAGTGTAACTTTACTCGTCAATTAAATATGGAACTTAAGCATGGTTAGTGTCACGGGATCAAATTTCTCACTCAAATTTTTGTCTGGTGATGACACTGAGATCCTACACTCAATCTTAGCAAAGCACTCAAAACGCTCACATAAATGCACACACGAATAGAATATGGACACAGTAAGCAAACACAAAACACACACAAGTTTTATAGGCCAATGGCCTAACCTTTTCTTTCTCAATAAAGTCTAAAGGAACACTCACCATGGGTCTGCTTACAAAAATGTGCCCAACTCTCTACTTGTGCACTACACACCCCAATCGCGTAGACAACTACATGGCAGTTCAGATTTGTCCACAAAGCCACCCTCAGTCTGTTAATAATGGTTCAGGTTCTCTCCCACATCTGCTGGTCATGGTAAGGGGTAGTTGTAACTGTTGGCTGACCCAGCCAGCAACTTCCCTTAACTGCTTGCATGCTGAGTGCACATGCCAACAACCCTCAATGTTGTGCACATGCTAGCATTCTACACAGAACTGCCCCTGCATGTCATGCACATGCGAGGAACTATCTAAAACTGCCACCATGTACAAGGCACATGCCACAACCATTTTAAACCGCCTCACATGTTGTGGACTTACCTTCCTTGCGAGCCCACAACACCTTATTAGCCTTGCCTTCGTGCCTAGCCATGCCCAGCCCATGACCTGGTCTTCCAAGCTAGCATTGACTCACAAATTGAGCCACCTGATTAGCCTTTGCTTGCATGCCTACTTGTGCCCATGTGTCCATGCATTAGCTGCTACGCCCAGTCATGCATGGGGCTTCAATCACCCACTGATTGCTCAAAATCGTGCCCATGCATAAGCTGCCTCACTTAGCCATGCATGGGTCTTCAATCACCCATTGATCATGCCCAACGTGTCTATACATGCGCTACCTCACTCAGCTATGCATGAGGTCTTCAATAACCCACTGATTGCACCAAGGGTTTGCTTCCTCAAGCGAAACCCAGTTTGGCTAAGGAATGGGCGCCTTTGGGCGAGGCTTCCCTATGCCACTACCGATCTAGAAGTTAAGGGGGTAACAAACCACCCCCACCAGAAGATCTTGATGTCCACGTCATGAGGTTGTCCTGATTCTCCTTGATTTGATCAAGCTCAACACGCTTCTTCCTCTGATGAGCAGCCTTAACAAAGCTATCCTTTGACTTGTCAAGCAACCCTTGCTTAAAATAAGTAACACCATATGCAGTAGAACATTTAATCCTCTGTCCCACCCCTCTAGAGGCAAAAGACTGTTGTTGTCCTACGGCTACCATCCGATCAGGGACACGGGCTGGAAGCTTTGCACCATGCTCCAGTTTGTTTCTGTGGTCACCTCCACATTCGGGCAAAAGGACATTGGGGAGATTTGGAGGCAAAGTCTCAACACATTCTTCCAAACATTTTGCTACCAACTGGGGCATTTTAACCTTGTCAACAAGTTTGTTCTCCACCAAAGCTGAAAGATATGTCATCTTGCCTTCCTGCAACCTAGCATCCATTTGCCAAGCAGAAAACATCTCCATTTTTGGCCTGCTGTTTCTCCTGCTTTGGTTTGCCACATTCTCTGCAGGCAAAAAGCATTCTGTTTAGATGTGGCATCAATGCCACTTTGACTTTTACGAAGAACTTATTCCCAAGGATGACATCGAAGTCGCCCAAGGGTATATTTGTCATGCTCAAGCAGCCATCCCATAGACCAACTCTCAGGCTCGCCTTTGTATTTCCATACACTAGATTTGCTTCTGAATTGACCGCCTTGAGCTTACTTGAGCTCTCGTCTAACTATAAGGGAAATATTTCCACTTCCCTCTACGCAATGAAGTTATGGGTTGCACCCGTGTCCACCATGACCAAAACTTCTTTCTCGTTCACCCAAGCTTGCACAAAGATCAGACCTTTTGCAAGCATGCTGAATCTTTCCCAAAGACATTGTATTCAGCAATTACAGAGGATTCACTCGAGTGGGAAATTATCATCGCTGGTCTCTCCGCTTTTAGCGACATTCAACTTCTCTTGCTTGGGACAATCTTTGGTACGATGACGGCTGCTAGAAATAAAGCAACCCAAATCAAAGCTCTTCTTTTTTTTAGTTGTTTTTAGCTTTTTAGAATCACCCCCGTTGATTTTTTCTTCCAATTCGCCTCCTCTGCGTCTTTGGAAGTACCATATCGGTCTTTCTTGCTGCCTCCTTCCCTCTTTTTCCTTTTGAAAGGGCCTTGACTGCCACCAGTTTTGAAGTCAACAGGACCATTCGCAGCGGCGATGATAGTGAGCAAATCCTGCACCCCCTGCCTATGCAATTCAGCCTATGCCTAACCTTACAAATCGGACATAAAATTAAAGAGTTTGTCATCCTTAGCTCGGATCAAAGAACTGAACTTAGTCACATAATCATGAATGGTTCCAGTGTGCTTGAGTTTCTTGAGCGATTCCTTGGCAATCCACATCGTATTGTTGGGAAGGAATTGATCCTTCAACTCCTTTTTTACTGTCTCCCACGTCTAATTTTTTGTACGTCCAACAGATGTATCATCTTCATTTCAGGTCCGTAACCACAACTTGGCCTCACCATAAAGATACATACTGGTAATGGTCACCTTTTCTCCAGCAGGCACATGAGCAGCCTTGAAATACTACTCCATGTCCCACATAAAGTTCTCCAGTTCCTTGGCACTCCGGTTCCCTCTGAAGGGCTTAGGTTCAAGGAACTTGATCTTTGAAGATTTCATACCTGCACCAAGACAAGAATGCATCCTCTAAATTCTTCAGATTGGTTTTGACAGCATCCATGAGGGACAAAATATCCTCCATCATTCTTGAAAGTTTTGCATCGTTGTTGGGCCACGTAGTTGTCAAAGGTCATTTGTAAACCAGTAATTTGAATAACGTGCTGCTCCATCTGCACAACCATGCTAGTTTCAGCATCACTTTCAGGGGCACCCTAAAAATCTTTGAGACGAGTCACACGTTCTCGTAATTTAGCATCGTTCCCACCAGCCATGGTAAAAAATTGAAGCTTTAGCACCAAGAAATGCACACACGAATATAATAGGGACAAGTAAGCAAACACACAACACACATAAGCTTTACAGGCCAATGATCCAACCTTTTCTTTCTCAATAAAGCCTAAAAGAACACTCACCTAGGGTCTGCTTACAAAAATGTGTCCAACTCTCTGCTTGTGCACTGCAAACCCCAACATGTATATTTATAGCATACAAGGTGGTGGTTACAAGCCCAACCGCCTAGGCAACTGCATGGAAGTTTAGATTTGCCCACAATGCCACCCCTCAGTCTACTAATGATGGTTCAGGTCCTCTCTCACATTTGCTGGTCATGGTAAGGGACAGTTGTAACCGTGGGTTGACCTAGCCAAAAATTACCCTCAATTGTTGTGCATGCTGAGTGCACATGCCAACAACTCTCATGTTGTGCACATGACATCATTCTACACAGAACTGCCATTGCATGTCATGCACATGCTAGAAACTGTCTGGAATTGCTATCATCTGTAGGGCACATGCCACAACCATTTGGAACCCCCTCACATGTTATGCACCTGCCTTTCATACGAACCCCCCAACACCTAATTAGCCTTGCCTTTGTGTCTAACCATGCTTGGCCCATGGCCTAGTCTTCCAAGCTAGCATTACCCCACAATTAAGCCACCCGACTAGCCTTTGATTGCATGCCTGCTTGTGCCCATGCATTAGCTGCTACGCTTAGCCCTACATGGAGCTTCAATCACCTAATGATTGCACCAAATCGTGCCTATGCATGAGCTACCGCACTTAGCCATACATGGGTCTTTAATCAGCCATTAATCATGCCTTACATGCCCCTGCATGAGCTGCCTCACTCACCCATGCACAGGTCTTCAATCACCCACTGATTGCATCAAAGGTTTACTTCCTCAAGCAAAACCAAGTTTGGTTAAGGCGTAGGCGCCTTTGGGCGAGGCTGCCCCATGTCATCTCCAAGCCAGAAGTTAAGGGGCGTAACAGTTAGAGACTAGGAACACTCTCACCAAATCAACTGTTAGTTACCACATTATCAACCTGTAAATCATCCAGCGTGAGTACTACCGAATCTACGACTATAAAACGGGAACCTTCCATAAAAAATGTACGTGTAATGTGACATAAGATCTATGATTAGGAACTCTGTTCCATGTTCTAGTGGTTTTAAAAAAAATATTATTTATATGTTAATTCAGATTTACATCCATGAGATTACATTGGTTTCAAAGCTTCTTGATTTTAGCAAATTCCTTAGTTTGCTCTAACTTGAATTCTGCATGTGACCACAACAGAGACAATTTAAAATTTTGCAAATTAATTTCCTTGATTTGTTGCTCGGCAAAATTTTGTAAATTTTGAATCAATTCATGTGATTTGCTCCATCACAGGTTTCTCATTGAAATTGTCCTTGATAGTACACAACTCGTGTCTCACACTAGATAGAGAAACATATAATGGTTTGTACTATCATTTGGTACTAAACTTATAAATTCCAAACAATATTTGCAGATTCCAGGGGTCTTTAGTTGACTAACATTTTATGAAAAAATATTATCTAAGTAGATAGATACGTGAGTTATTTTATAGTCTAAATTTAGCGATTTGTAGAAAGTTTCATGCATTCAAATAGTTAAGTATGTAATGTAGTTCAATAAATAGATTACTTAGGGCTCTCTAAATGCACATGCAAAGTTCTACGAGTGGTTGTTATTGATGGGCACGACCCCATACTAGACCCAATTTAGAAATGCATACCAAATTCAGCTCAAGTATACATGACAAATCCACCACAGGTTGAAAGAAGGTCAGTCAGATTAGTCTTGCTATCTTGAGGGACTCAGTCTACAACTGACACACAAGGAGATCTTCGTGGGACGCAATCATCGGGTGCACATCACCACCTCCACATAACTGTCTCGCCTGTTACAAGAATGGCACTACCTCCACCGAACTGCCTCACCTGTTATGAGAACGATGCCTCAATCTGTTAGGAAACGTCTATAAATTGTAAGCCCCACCTACACAAGGGAGCATCTATCACATCTGAGCACTCTACACTCCTTCAGTAATAAAACGCTTAGGACATTGTAGTCCTTGATCAAACCACTTAATTTGTGTTTACTTGTGTTAAGCCTCCTTCTTGGGTGGTGTTAGATAAAATTGAGAGCTGAACACTAAAAATTAAATGCTAAATTTTAAGTGATGCATGCTGATTTTTTTAAATTCGCAAACTGTTTTGTATCAATTGAAATTTAAGTTTTGAATATAATCAAATTGTTTGACAAATATAAGAAGCTGAAGTCTAAAAATTATTATTATTCTAATTTTTCATTCTCTTTATCTATATCTCTGCAATTGCCTTAATCCTATCACCACCACCACAACAGTGGTGGTGGTGGCAACATAATGTTGGTGGTGACGACAATGGTGGTGACGGCAGTGGAGGCAGCACAATGATAGTGGTGGCCACAGTGATGGTGGTGGTGGTGGTGGTGGTGGTGGTGGTAGCAGCAACACAATGATAGCGATAGTGGTGGTGGCAATGATGGTTATGACAATGGTAGTGGTAGTGTTAATGGCGGTGGTGGTGGTGGTGATGGTGGCGACGACAATGGTGGTGTCGTGGTGATTGGAGATGTGACATAATGGTGGTAGTGGCAGTGACCTAATGATAGTGGTGGTGATAGCGATGCAATGATGGTAATAGTGGTGGTGGAGGCAAAGGTAGTGGTGATGGTGGTGGTGGCACAATGGTAGGGGTGGCAACATCAATACTATGGTGGTGGTGGCGACAGTACAATAGTGGTGTTGATGGCAGCGACAATGGTGGTGGTGATAACAGTGACACGATAGTGGTGTGGTGGTGACATAATGGTAATTATAGTGGTATAATGGTAGTGGTGGTGGTGGCAACACAATGGTGGTGACAGTAGTGGTAGTGGAGGTGATGACAGCAATGGTGGTGGTGGCGGTAGCACAATTGTAGTGGTGGCGGTGGTACATTGGTGGTGGTGGCAGCGATGACACAATGGTGGTGAGGATATATTTGTCCATTATGAGAAATTTATAAACTTCTTACTAACTACCATTTTAAACATTAATTGATAAGTAGGTGACTTGCAATTTAAAATTTTAGTCTATTTTTAAGAAGTGCTTAAAATATTAAGAAGTATGAGTTTTAGGTTATCAAACGAGTTTAATTTATTAAGTGCTTAAAGTATTCATTTTTAAGTCTTAAATGACATTATCAGACAACCCCTTAATTACTGTAATAAATACTTAATAGGTAGTGTATAAACACATTTTGTGCATCATCAGTTATGAATTCTAGACGCTCATGCAAATAAAATGAAAGGAGGACAATAACTTGAGGAGAAAAATTAAAATTAGTTCGGATTGAGATTAGGATTGAATTCTATATTGAGGCATCGTAAATTATGCGGTTTACAAGAATCCAATACAATAATGACCAAAATATTAGATTTGGAAAATAGTTATACGAGTTAATTCCATAGGAACCAATTTGCAATTGAAGTTTCACAACTTGAGGCAATAATTAGCTGGTTTAGAGAAACGGCGGAAAAAATTAGTTTGGCTAATGAGAATGAAACCCACCAGCGATTTGTTTGACATGAACCAAGGAAACAGGAGAGGACAGATTCTCCACCGGCCTTGTGTCAATACTTAATTAGATGTTTGTAAACAGGCTGATTTACATTAGATCCGAAAAGAACTTAATATCTTAGAAATTATCAATGGGTTACCAAATGTTAACTTCGTTTTGGAAAAGATGAACTTTACTTTGAAATGTAGTGATTCTCTTTTTGAAAGGATATGCATCGGGATGCTTCCAAGGACGGGTGTAGTTTTCTCGTGGCTTAGATTCGTTCATGCACAGTAGCTGACAAATGGGAAAGTGCAACGTCCAACCGACCTTGGACAAGCACCTGGGGAATGGAGAAGAATAACGTTTTTTTTTTTGGATCAAAAGAAGAATAACGTTGAAAAAGTCAGGGTTGAGAGTTTCCGAAGTGGAATATTATTGGGAACTGGTGGTCCATTTGTCATTTTTCAACTTATCTATGCTACTATAATATTTGCTGAAAGTTAGAGTAACTCCGACTCACTTTTTATACTATTTTACTTAACCAAGTATCAAAAAACTTATTCAACCCATTCTCTATTTTCAATTTCACCTTTTTTGCCTTTCCAAATCTAGCGAGCCCCCTCTCCCTGTCAATCCCACTCTTAATCCCACTCTCTCTCTC